CCATTAATTAAAATGCACCAACAAAATGCAAACAATCAACATAAAATGTCACAAAAATCCACAAAATGCAAATAAGGAAAGAAATCATTTTGTTTGAATTTCTGGGAGTAATTCATATAGGGCAAAAATCACGTGCTCACAGCTGCCCCTCTTTGCTCGGAAACACGAAGAGTTTTCGGGCAAAGATAAGTGAGCGGATACGAGCGATTTTTGCCCGTTTGAATACTCCGTGTGAAGCATTTTTGAAAACCGTCTGACCGAACCCTGCTTCAAAGGTTTCGTACATATCCTTGGCTGTAAAGGAATCAGGTCAGTGTAGTTCTGGAAGGGGTTGGTAGCTGGGACTACCAAGAGCTGTGATTTCACTGCTGTTGCTACTGCTACTGCTTGCTGACCCCCTTATTACACCGTGTTGAAACAAAAGAAGCTAGCCTAAGCTATGATCTATGAATTACAAAAAGTCATATCTATGTCTTCAAACTTGCTCTTGTAGTTCTTGTTGCCTTATTGACTCGTATTCTCCCAATGGAATTCTTTTGTTGTTGCCTTGAATTGTGATATGAGATGTTTCGCCATTTTCTCCGAGTGATGCTTGACTGCTGAAATTTGACATATATGCCTCCATTCTCCAGGCGGGCTCCTGACTGATAACACTTGAAATGTATTCCCTTATTCTCCAGGTAGGCTCCTGATTGCCGTCACTTGAAATGTATTCCCTTGTTCTCCAGGTGGGTGCCTGACTTCAACAAAATAGACAAACAAAGAAAATTTCCTGCCCCAGTTTGGTGGCTGGGTGCATCATGTCACCAAATATTAAAAGTTTGGTGGCTGGGCGCATCATTTTGATCAACGACCTAGATTTATTGGGGAGCCGGGCGGGTTGGATTAAATTGGGTAATGGGCGGTGTCACACCTCCTTTTTCCTACACCCGGAGGGTGTAGAGGAGTTTTTCCAATTAAAGGACAATCGAAACGGGATTCGTTTTATTAAGAATCAGAGTCGCCACTTGGGAGATTTATGGTGTCCCAAGTCACCGGTTTAGAATCCCGAATCGAGGAAATTATTGACTCTGTTTAACAGTCCGCGAACCAGAAATCCGAGTAAGGAATTCCGTTAACCCGGGAGAAGGTGTTCGGCATTCCCGGGTTCCGTGGTTCTAGCACGGTCGCTCAACTGTCATATTTGGCTTATTTATTTGATTTTAGTACATGTTTTAATCTATGTGCTTTTTAATTTTGAACCGCTTTTGTTTATTATTATAAAGGGAATTGCACCGTCGTTAAAACACGTCTCGAACCACGTCACATAAATGCACCCATGATTTTTGACACATTTCAACTTCGTTGGGATTTGGATTTGGGTCACATAAATGTGCACCCGAGTTTAGGAAGGTAATATTATTAAATGTCGGGCCTAAAGCAACTAGCGTGTTATTAACTTTGCGGGAGGTCTAAATATTTTTGTATATGATTAAGAGGGCCACGCCATGTATGATTTTTGTTTGGCGCGGCGCACCTCGTTTATTTTAAATCCAACCTAAAGGACTACGATTTTCTATTATGGATTGTCTCTAAGGCCTAGCTAATTGGTATTATTTAAGAACTACTATGCTTTAAATCCATGGCTTTCATATAATTCAGATCTTCAGCGGTTTTTAGGGCCTTGTAATCAGCCCATGAAGCAGGGTGAGACCATCAGCTCTGACAGGCTGTTTACAGACACTGGGCCTCGACATGGGCCCAGTTTGGGGCGTGCTGGACTTGAGATCCAGTTATGCTTCCGCCCAGCTATTAAGCCTCGACACAAAACATGGGTCCAAATCACGTTGATCTCAAATCAGGCTTTGCAATGCTGACTGAGATTAATTCTATTATTAGTTTGAACTAAAAAAAATCAATGATTAAACTAACGAGATTACCAATTATATTGAAATATCAGACTCAAAAACAAACATAGCATGCTGAACACTGATCCTTGGTTTCAAAGTCAGTAATGCATGAAAATTAGGACTGAAGCTCATGTGTATCTAAATTTAACATCCTCTACCCAAATCCCGTATTAACTCGAACAGACAACTTCAAATTCACATCATATTCCTTTTTTCTTTCAATTGATGTGATACTATTTCAACTAATCAACTAGTATGAAAGCTAATTTCAGTTTAGCAAACTATTAAACTAAGGCGCTCATGGACTGAAGACAAGCAATCCAACTAACCAAATACAGTCCCAACAGTCATGTTACAGTCCAGTTAAATCGTAATAAAATACAATAAGGTATTGCAACAAATGAAAATTGCAACAACACGATGCTTCAACTTCATTTCACTTTTAAAACTGGAGATCTACATTCCAATGAATTAAAGATGTGTACCTGGTCGATAGAACACAATAGAAGGAAGAAGATAGAGTCAGCAGCAATAAACATACACAGTAGTGTCAAACAACAGGAATCAGCAAGCTTGTAATCCCAGAAATGATATCAAAAGTCCAGGAAAGATTTTAACGCAAACAACACCAATGAACCAACCAAAACAACTGGAATGAACCCGGAATAAACTCGAAATTAAACCCAACACTCTTCTGAAGTTTCAGCAGTCAAACACATGCATTTTCAGGTCATTTTTAGCTTGTCTAGGCTAGAAGTTCGGATTAACAGCTGGAATTTGAAACTAATCTGAGCAAAAGCTCCAATAAAACAATATTTTTTGGATTTTCCGAAGGTTTTCGATCTAAGAGGAATTTTCTAACTCTAAATTTCAGATTTGTTTTTTTTTGGAATTTGAAATTTAAACTTTCAGATCTGTACAGCTTGTGGAACACTTTTTGGGGGAATTTTTAGAGGCTCTCCAAAACTTGTGAAAGAAGGCATGAGGACTGCCTTTTATAGGCAGGAAAGGGGGAGGAAGCTTCTAGAATTCATTCACTCATTTTCCCCCCCTTTTTATTTTCAGATTTTATTCATTAGTCCTAAAGTTTTGACTTGTTGCCTAAGTTATTACCCTAAGTTCCTGAAACTACAATTGAGGCTTTATTTTAGAAACTTCTAGGGTGTTCTAGTTTAACCCATAGCATTTCTGTGCCACTCTAAGTACCTAAATTACCCTTGAACTCATACTGAAATTACTAGCCTAGTACAGCTATAACCAAACAATTTATTTAACTAGGGTTAACTAAACTAAGCCCTAAATCAAACTAGGCAAGAACACCAGCAAAACTTAAACTAAACCCTGAACATGGAATTACTAAAGAAAATAACAAAAATGGTTCTTTTTGCATTTATACTTTAATTTGTCTTAGTTTGCTTTTAAATTAGGAATTAGTGTATTTGAAAATTAAGTAATATAATGTTAGAGTTAATTTGGGTCTTTATTTTTAATTTGGCATTTAATAGAAATCAGAAAATATAAATACAAAATAAAAAAAGAGAAAAGAAAAGAAAACAAATATAAAGAATTAAAAAGTCTCGAATTTGGGCCAGATGTATTTCAACTCAAGATGAGACCCCAAAATCGGACCAAACACACCCCAGTCCAGGCCCAAAGCGAGTCTCAACCCGGCCTGCCCNCCCCCCTTTAGTGAGACGACGTCGTTTCATGTCGTGAAATCTGGGCCATCCGTCCACTCTAATCCAACGGTCCAGTTTCAATCTCTAATTTTAGATAAAAGTGTCCAAAACTCTTCAGAAAATTCAGAGACATACATCTCCTTCCTCGTACCCCTGTAACGCCGGTCACCCTTCGTCGTCCGCCGCCGGCCAAAAATAGCTTCCGCTGGCGGCGATGCTCCAAACCCACCCAAATTTTCACCATCAAATCCTCTCCTCCTCCACTTTCCAATGCCCCAAATATTTTCCCTCGAATGTTGCTCAAAGAGCTTTTTCAACAAGTTGCAGAGCGTCTTGTTAAATGCTTCAGCAAGTCCATTGGAAGCAACATAATACATGGAGGAATTGCATTGCTTGAAGTCAAAAAGATCACATATTTTATTCATCAGCTTGTTATCAAATGGCTTACCATTGTCTGTCAATATATATCGAGGAATGCCAAAGCGATAGATAATATTGACTCGGATGAAGTTAGCCACATTTTCCTTCTTTACTTCCTTAAGAGAAACAGCTTCAGCCCACTTCGAGAAGTAATCACTTGCGGCCAAAATGAATAGATGTCCACCAGAAGACTTTGGAAATGGACCAACAACATCCAAACCCCAAGCATCAAATGGCCAAGAAGCAACAGTTTGGTGTAATACTTCAGGTGGTTGATGTATGAAGTTAGCATGGAATTGGCAAGCTTTACACCTTCGAGCGTAATCTAAACAATCTTTCACCATAGTTGGCCAATAATACCCCATTCTTTTTATGTGGAAGTGAAGTTTTGGCCCAGATTGATGCACACCACATACTCCAGAATGTGCTTCTTACAGGGCTTAAAGGGATTCATCAGCCCCCAAACAACGTAGGAGTACTCCATCAAATGATCGTCTGTAGAGTGTATTCTTATAATAAAGAAAACGAGGGGCTCTCCTCTGGATTTCTGTCTTTCTTCGGGGATTTTCCGATAATATCACATAACAAAGATAATCAATTAACGTTTGTCGCCAATCTTCAATTTCAACCTCAAGAACGGAAGCAATATGCTCAACTTCGCTTTTTTCTTCCTCATAGTCATTTGGTGGAGGAACTACCCATCTTTGGCAAATAGCGACTTGTGTCTGATCAGGCAAAGATAATGTAGAAGCTAAGGATGCTGATGCATCAACTCTCTTATTTTCCTTTCTCGGCACGTGTTGAATAGTTACCTCTCCAAGCCAACTTACCAATCTTTGAGCGTATTTGTGATATGGCACTAACTCTGGCTTCTTGACCTCATAGCTACCCAAAATCTTATTGATCACTAACATAGAATCTCAAAAACTTGTAATTGTAATTGTCTGATATCCACAGCCATTTCTAGCCCAAGTATGAGCGCTTGATAGTCAGCAACATTATTGGAGCACCATTATTTCAGAGTGAAAGAATAGGGAAAATCTTCTCCTTGAGAAGTGATAAATACTATTCCAGCGCCAGCTCCTTCACGATGTGCAGCGCCATCAAAATACATCTTCCAAGGAGGCTGAATTTCTATGACCATTGCATCTTCATCAGGCAATTCATCAGACAACTCCCAATCATCTAGAATCGGATGGTCAGCTAGGAAGTCTGCTAATGCTTGTCCTTTTACTGCCTTTTGAGGAACACACACAATTTCAAATTGTTGAAATTGGAGGTACCACCTTGCTAATCGATCACTTAGGACTGGTTTAGACATGACGAACTTGATAGGGTTCGCTCTTGAGACGAGTCGCACAACGTGAGCTTGGAAGTAATGCTTTAGCTTTTGAATAGAGAAGACAAGTGCCAAACATAACTTCTCAATAGGAGAATACTTGAGCTCATTCGACGTCATCATCCTACTCAAGTAATAAAGCGCACTTTCTTTGCCTTCATCATTTCCTTGAGCGAGAAGCGCTCCTACTGACCTTTCCTGTGCTGAAATGTATAATATTAATGGCTTCCAGGTATGGGCGCTGCCACTGCTGGAGGTTTTATTTGATAAGACTTAATGCTTTCAAAAGCATTTCTGCAAGCTTGGTCCCATTCAAAGGGAACCCCTTTCTTCATGAGGCTACTAAATGGTTGGCATCTTCAAGCCAGATTCGAAATAAATCTTCTAAGATATGCCAACTTACCCTGCAAACTTTTCAATTCATGAATATCTTTAGGCTCGGGCATTTTCAAGATAGCATCCACCTTAGCTTGATCAATTTCGATACCTCGATGTCGAATAATAAAACCGAGGAACTTCCCAGAAGTAACTCCAAAAGCGCACTTCAACGGATTCATTCTGAGTTGGTATCTCCGAAGTCGTTCAAATACCATCCTCAAATCTTGCAAGTGACCATCTTTCTTCCTTGACTTTACCACCAAGTCGTCAACATAACACTCCACATTTTTATGAAGCATGCCATCAAAAATATTTTGCATGGGACGTTGATATGTAGCACCAGCATTCTTCAAACCAAAAGGCATTACCTTGTAGCAGTATATACCTTTAGGGGCGCGAAAGGCAGTAAGTTCTTCGTCCTTCGGTGCCATGCGAATTTGATTATATCCAGATGAACCATCCATGAAAGACATCGCCTCGTATCCAGTTGTTGCATCAATCATGAGCTCTGGGATAGGAAGAGGAAATTCATCCTTAGGACAAGCGTTATTTAGGTCTCTAAAGTCAACACAAACTCGGATTTAGACATTCTTCTTTCTTACAGGGATGATTCTTGAAATCCATGTAGGATATTTAACTTCACGAACAAAACCAGCCTCAATAAGCTTGTTAACTTCGATTTCAATCAAGGGAACCAGTTCAGGTCTGAAGCGACATTGTGCTTGCTTTACAGGACGAGCACCTCGTTTGACAACAAGATGATGAACAGCCACCTTGGGGTCTGAACCTGGCATTTCTTTGTAGCTCCAAGCAAATACGTCTTTAAACTCCTTAAGTAGCTCAATATATTTTCTCTCTTCATCACCAGTTAGAGAGGCACTGATATATGTGGGCCTTGGATCTTCAACTACTCAGAGATTGACTTCTTTTAGTGCATCAACCATTCTCTTCACCCCTGTGGTGCATCTTTAGCGTCTTCATCCTCTTGAGGATCACCATCGCTGAATGATATGTGACGACATACATCAATATCAAGGCACTTTTCCTCAACTTCCGTATAAGATGAAGCATTTTGTTCATCATGAATGGTGATATGATATGATAACCCCACCCTTCTTTATCTTCCTCTCGTTCTTTAGTGTGTACTATAGTATGAGCCTTTGCTTTGAGGACCTCTTCGCACGAAACTACAAGTTTGGTCTCTGGCCTCATTCTGGAAGGAATCAGACTTGGGCAGTCCGTGGTCAAAATCTCCTTTTTAGCGAAGATAGGTGCTCCAATCCTTCTATCACTTCCATGACGCTTGTTTTCCTTCTTTAGTGGTCCCAACCTATCAAATAGTGAGGTCCTTGGCTTCGCAAGTCGATCAAACACATAAGGCTTCTTATTAAGCGTCGTAGACACTTCTTTAGCAGTAATGTAGTTACAGCTTGCCCTTTTAATAGAGATACGGATTGGCGGGGGTTGTTTGTAAGCCAATCCTTCACGTGATTGCTTCAGTGGGTACCCTTTCTCCATCATCATTTTTTGCGTAGGGTTTGAAGCTTCATGCGGGAGCTTTCCCAACTTGGATGGTTCTTTGGGATATATCCACCTTTTGCTAACAACTTGTAGGCGTTTGGGTCAAAGCCCTCATCTATGCGTTTTGCAGGAAGTGCTAGATTTAGAAGCGAATTGTGGCTTGATGATTTGACAAACCCTTTAAGCAACTTTCTAGACGACTTAATTGCATCCATTCGCTTGATAGGAAGGGTCAAGTCTCCTAACACCTTACCTTGTAGCTCAGAAGATAGATCTTCGGCCTTCCTTGCCTTTGGGACATAATGAAGAACAGAAGTCACTTTCTTACTTAAAGATGCCTCATTCATCTTTTTCCTATCATGAAACACCTGATCTTTTTCAAATGTAATCTTTTCCTTGCTAGTTGTGACATCAACCTTCTATACAACACTTTTCTGGTCAACATCACATCATCAACCTTAACCTCCTTTGAGACGTAATTCTTTAAGTAGAATTTTGCATCAGTAAAGTATGATTCAGCCTCGGTAAAGGGCTTATCATCAGCAACTATCTTCTTTTCGACCGTACCTTAGCAGTAATTTAAGCACTAATGGTAGGTGGATAAAACCACTTTATTCTCGTGTATCCATGGCCTTCCTAACAAGATATTATATGAGGTTTTTGCATCAATCACGTGCATCCATGCACTCGGATGGAAATCTCCCATACTTATTTCCAATTTGATAGCCCCTATAGCTCTTTGCCCCCCTTGATTGAACCCTTGAATCATCAAACGACTTTCACATAGTTCATCCATCGGTATGCCAAGCTCTTTGACAGTACGAATTGGGAGAATATTGACACCAGACCCATCATAGATCAAGATTCTACTTATTCTCTATTCTCGCACAAAGCCAACCATAAATAGGGGCGATTATGGTGTGCTTCACCAAGCAAAAGATCATCATTAGTAAATGTGATTTTTGCATCACAAACGTCCACTTCTTCAAAATTCCAGTGAGTTTTTTAGGCAAGGGAGGTGGTAGCAATGATGGATCCTCCTTCTTTGTCTTTTCTTCATCTATCTTACAACATGAGGCCTTGATATATTCACAGGAGGCTCGCGGGTATAACCAGCTTGGCAGGAATTCCTCTAATGTCACTGGACGATGTAGCCTTTGATAGTGATTCTCCGCCATTTTTTCTTTCTTCCAGTTCTTCTTTATCATTTTCTTCTTGGGTCTTTTCACCATTTTTACCCTAGTCAATTGCTTATTTGACTCCCTTTGTGAAGTTGTCTTGCAGCATCTCCGCCGAGTCACAAGAATCCAACCTTCATCATCAGTTTGATCATCACGTGATTCACCTTTCTCTTGAGATCTTTCCTCCACTATTAGTTTATACGCCATAGGGAGAAGCAACGGTTTGCTCACATCGATAGGTTCAAAGTCACCAAATTTAATCATACTTGGTGATGATGCAGTTTGGATGTCATCACATTCATGTACTTCGACAAAATTGCAAAGGACAATGGGATCAAGTGAACCAAAAACGAAAGAGACTTGATTCGAACTGTTTTTCTCATCCTCGAGCAAGATTTTTCCTTCAGCGGCCAAGTCCATGACTTTCTCCTTGAAGACAAAGCACTTTGCAATAGGGTGGCCAATCAACCGTGGTACTTGCAATAATCTGGATCATTAGTCTTTCCAGCTTCGTCTGGCTGCTTCATTTCGGATAACTCAATGAGTTTCAACTCAAGGAGTTCTTCAAATATTGCTGGGACATCGGAGTCCAAGAATGGATATTCTTTCACTTGCATTTCCTTCAGAGTTAACTTTCGGCCAACTTTATCCTCTAAGGACGTTGTCTTCACACTTTGCTTCTTACTCACTTTTGTAGTGACCTTTAATGGCGAGGCATTAACATTCATTGATTCCTTGCTCTCATACTTCGGCAAAAACCTGCCTCCTTTCTTTATTTCTGGTTTATCCTTCACTTTGTGAGGTTCATAAACAGGTGGACCTTGATTTCCACTTGAAGACATACTTAACTCCATATCATGAGCACGCGTAGCCAATTCTTCAAATGACTTAGGCTTGATACCCTGCAGGATGTAGCGAAGTCCCCAATGCATTCCTTGGATACACATTTCTATTCCAGAAGATTCACTAAGTCTGTCTTTGCAATTGAGACTCGCATTCATCCATCGATTGATGAAATCAACAACTGGTTCATCCTTCCATTGACGTGTATTTGTGAGTTCAACCATACTTACAGTGCGCCTTGTGCTATAGAAGCGATTGAGAAATTCATGTTCAAGTTGCTCCCAACCATCGATGAAACCAGCCTCGAGATCAGTGTACCAATCAAAAGCATTTCCTTTTAAGGAACGGACGAACTGCTTGACAAGATAATCTCCATAGGTTCCAGCATTATTACAAGTTTCGACGAAGTGTGCAATGTGTTGCTTCGGATTTCCATTACCATCAAATTGTTGAAACTTTGGGGGTTGATAGCCTGCAGGCATCTTCAAACTATCAATTCTCACAGTGTATGGCTTTGCATATGCGAGAGAAGACTTGGCAGCAACATCGTACTTATCTTTGATGGTTCCCATAATGAAGTCTTTCAATTGGTCAATGGGAATAACCCTGTCAGATGAAATCTGAAATTCTTTAGGAGCCATTGTCTACCTTGCAGATGAGTCTCCTTTATCTTGCGTCATTGGGAGCTTTACAGGTGCATGACTTGAATCTCCCTCCATCATGCTTTCAACTCTATCTGTCAGCTTGACAATTTGATTATCTTGATCTTGCATATGCTTCGTTAACCCTTCAATTGCTTTGTTAAATTTGCGAGTTGTTCTTCAACAGTTGAGGTATTAATCACCATTGCTTGGATAACCGTCATGGATGGTGGAGCAAAGCACAGATTTTTTCTTACGCCATACCTTGAGTGGAACAACTCACGTGGAGTGCTTGGAGCAAATCCAGTGATCAAGACATCATCATCGCCCTGTGTGATGAGATTCTTAGATCTAGAAGGGCTAAGTAGAGCTAATGTCTTTTCAACAATTTCAGTAATGTTTGCTCCTTCTTCCAATTCAGTTGGAAATGATATTGCCCCCTTTGAGGATGGAAAATCAAAGATAGGAACCAATGCAGACGGCATTTGAAATGTTTTTTGTTCCAGCAAGTTTGCTTTGTTCCTAGTGACAGGTCCTACGCTTTCCATAGTAGCATCCAGCAAGTTTTCCACATCAGATTAAAACATGGAATCGGTAGCCTTAGCAGTAGTGAGTTTGAAGTTGATCTTCTTAGGAGCCATTTCTGTGTTCTTGAAATTGGTAATTTGAAGAGATGAGAGGTAGAGATTGTCCCACTGGGCGTGCCAGAAATTTGTAACAACAAATTTTCGAGTCGAGAAAAATAAATAATCAAGACTGAAAAAATTGCGTAACAATGTAGTATTTGATTTTAATAATTGAAAGTGTCTCTATGAATCCTCTGATTCTTCTTTTCAATAGTAAATAAATTCAAGGGCCTTTGAGCTTGATCTTGAATCTATGTTTGTTGCCACGAACGATGATCTTGTTCTTGAGCTTGAGCTTGATTGCTTGAACTTAGACTTGATTTCTTGAAGCTTGAACTTGATTTGTTCTTTGTTCTTGAGCTTGAACTTGATAGCTTGAAGCTTGAAACTTGTGGAGGAATTGCAGCGTTTGATCCACGAGCTCTTTTTTGCTTCTTGTTATAACTTCTGGTGCCTTATCTGAGTTATGAAGACCCCTTTTTATAGTTGTGGAAGGGAGTAGTTGTGATAAGAACAAACTCTTTCCGACCAATCAAATTGAAGTGTGACATGGCCGAATTTGATTGGCCAGAACATGTCACTTGCACACATGGTGTGATTTCATTAGTCTTTTAATGTGACTTGGCATGCCTTGTCATTTTGACACGTGGCATGATCCTATAGGCTCTTCCGTTAGACTTGGCGTGCCACGTCATTTGACACGTGGCGCCAAACTGGGCCTCTAGGAAGATGGCATCTTGGGGTTAATGAAGTGGGCTCATCACTTTTAGCCCAATTAAATGGGCTAGCCTAATGGAATAAGACTTATTTATTTAAGAAATTTTTACCTCCTATAGCAAAGGTTAACACCTTATTTATTTTAAATAAATACCATTTAAAAAAATTATATTCTATAGATACCTTTTAAGGTTTATAGCAAAATATTTAATTTTGGTTACCTCCTAGCCCTAACCCACTAAATACGCTAATCAGTTACACTATC